CTCCACGGCCTTCTACGACACCCCTCAGCACCACGTCTCCGCCGCCTCTTCGCCGGATCGTTGGCACAGCTCCAGCCCAAAGCCGCGGCCAGACGACCGGAGGCCAGCGATGGCCGGGTCAGACATGCAAAATCATTTGACCCTAGCCTCATGCAGTCAAGTGTGGCTCTGGGATGCGATGCAACACATAGAAGCTTGATACTATCTGAATCATGCAAATACACATTCAATTCATGGCTTGCTGCTTGGGAGCCACCTCGAAGCAGCAGAACATGGAAAGATCTCGCAATGCTTCTGATCTCTGTGGACCGATCAGATCCTCAACATTTCATTCCTTGATATTATGAAGACTGCACTCTGAGCCAGGTTTAACTGGCGTGATGCGGGCCCCGTTGCAGATGAGGGCAGTCCGTTTGGAGTCAGGGCAGCCCGCACGCATTGAGCATACTGAGTGTGAGTTGAGCAGCTTGGAGTGGTTGTTTTAATTTGTTCCGAAACGGGCTGTTGAATACACAAAGCCACCAAGCACAGAGTTGCAAGGGGACGGTAGGGTGTACAAGAGTGGCAGAATAGAATTTCGGTATGCAGCTAGTTAAGGAGAGTCCACAATCTGGCCGATATCACGCTGGAGTTCCGGGCGGCCAGGCTGACTTGGAGAGGCGCTGTGCTAAATTGTTGGCATGTCGCATCGCGAAGCGCACCGCCTGGAGAATTGTTGCGCTGCACTTCCCAAGCTCAATGCTATTCGTCATCCTCAAGCCAGCGAATCAGGCAGCTCTTGTTCAAGATCACTTTCGGCTTGCTACCACCTCTACTCTCTCATACTTTATCAAACTGTCCTTGGGGTGTGTGAATGCTAAGAAGACCTATGGCTCGGGCGATCACCCACCAAAAAAAAGCCTTTGAACAAGCAAAGCTACGTTTTGGGACGGGAAGCGAACTGTTGCCGTACCTGCTTGCTGTTTGAAGAGTCGCCCGCTGGAGGTTGTCCAGACACGTCAGCTCGTCATGAGACAAACACAAGACGAAACTTGATTGGGTTTCTCGGAATCCCTAGGTGGATCCCATGTTGTTGCTCCTTGGTTTATGTTGGTCCTGGATACCGAACCTGTGTTGCGTTATTTTTCCTTGGGTTATTTGCCCGCATTGGCAGGCGTGCCTGGCCAGTCTCAAAACCACCCCAAGACCAAAATGAGTCTAAGCTGATGCGATCAAGTCTACAAATTTCCCTTTGATCCCCCCTGAACTGCCTTTCTGTTCAGCGCAGCTGGTAAGAAGCTCGTCCTGACTCATGAGCTTGTCACGTCAGCTTGTCGCAAGGCGATGAGGACAAGCCGAAACTTGAGGAGACGAACTGCCTAACTCCACCCTTGTAGGATGCTGTTGTTTGATGCTTGTGTGTTTGCATGTTTGGGTTTTTTGGGTACGGTCGTTTTGGCTGTTTGCCACGTATTGTCGTGTTTCGTAAGCTTGTGCGCTTGTGTGCTTGTTTGTTCGCATGTTTGTGAGGTTGTGTGCATGTGTCTTTGTTTCTCTGTGAGTTTGTTTGTTTGTTTGATTGTTTGTTTGTGTGTTTGTTTGTGTGTGTGTGTGTGTGCGTGTGCGTGTGGGTGTGAGATGTTTGGCTGTTGGTGTGTGTGTGATGTGTTGTTGTATGTGTAGTACTGTAGTGGTTTGTCACTGTGTTTGGTGTGTGTGTGTGTGCGCGTATGTTTTGGTGTGCTTGGTGTCTATGTGTTTGCTTTTTCGTCGGCGCACGTTTGTATGCACGTCGGGGTGTGTTGCTTGGTTCTTGCCAGTAATCTTCCTTCTTGCATGTCGTTTTGCAAAGTACTTGAACAGCCATTGCTCCTTGTGCCGATGCGCAGGCAGATGCGAAGCTCCAACAATGCCCCAGCCAGCATCAGACTGGCAGCAACCCAGCTGCATTGTAAAACCCGCAGCATGACTTGTCTTTCATCGCAGACATACGACGAGACGCCTAACGAATTAAAACAGTCTTTCGAAAGTTGGAAAGCTCAGATTCCGTGGATCGCTTCCCTTTGCCTTGGGCGTCTTTGCGGCCGTTCGTGTGTGTGCAAAACGCAAGACTCGCCGGACTCCGGAAGGCGCCAAGCGAGTCTGCGGCATGGCAGCAGATGCGGCGGCTGCAGCAGCTTCAGGAGCAACTCCTAAGGCCAGGATTCGGCAAATTGAGCGCGTTTGACAGTTAGACACCCCAATCATATCCACAGCTACTCAACATTGCGTAAATGTGCTGAATTTGGGCATTTTTTCGGGTCAAGGACTCATGCCAACTGGGCTTAGCACTGCTCTAAGGGTGCTTCAGGGCTTGTTTGTGGATGTGGGGCCGCACGGGCAAGAATAGTGGAAAAGGACAAACCATATTATATATATATACATACGTCTATCAACCTGATCCACGAGATAGAGGGAAATAGAGCCAGAGAGAAAGAGAGAGCTGTCTGCACAGATCATTTGCACCGGCAGGCCGGCGCAGCCAGACATGCCCTTGGATGCGCTTGAGCAAGAGGCACATGTAATGTCAGCGGCAAATTTGGCTACTGGAACTTCTCCCCCTGAGGCAGACGACGAAGTGCGAGATCCCATGGCAAATCTGAAGCAGTTAGCGCAAGAAGCTCAGGGCTATCCAGACCAGCCGGAGCAAAACAGGGATGCCTATCCGGCGCATCTCAAAAGTGGTCGAGCAGAGCATCCAGAGGACATTCGAGATGCAGAGCACTCGCGGCAAGCAAGCAGACAGCAATCGGGACAACCATTTCCCAATGAGCGGGGTGGACGTGGACCTGTTCTGGCAGATTCACAAGACTCCAGGCCTGGATTGCTTGTTTTCCAGCATTGAATGATGTGCCACTGTCCTTGTTCCTGCCAGACATGTTGAGCTGCAGCACGCTGATCCATTGGCAGCTGCTCGGCGCAATAGGTTGCTTGCAATGGGATGTACTCATGGGGTGCTCGCAGGGAATGCATTCGGATGCATGTGTTTTTGTGCAAACTAGAAAGCCAACCATATCATGTCAGACAGCTCAGCGCAGGTGCCACGGCTGCTTGAGCCCTCCACCATCCGCGAGGGCGGAGCCAAAGCGGAAGCGGCGCTGCAGGTACCTTTCGCGGCATACCCGAGGTCTCGAGAATTGGCAGAGCAAAGGAGGTTGCTTGAGGATCGGAAGACAGCAGCGGCGCACAACAGCCAGGCGCAGAAACAGGGCCAAGTGCAGCAGGCCATGGCACAGAACCTGCAGCGGCAGCTACAGATGCGGGCGCTGCAGCAACAGCAGCAGCAGCTCATTGAAAGCCAGAGCCAGAGCCAGTCGCGGCGCCAACAAGCGAAAGTGCAAAGCCACCAGCCAAGCCAACAGCCGACCCGACAGCAAGTCCAGCAATTAAGTCAAAGCCATCCGCAAATGCATGGCAACGAGCTAGGTCCGCAGATTCAGCAACACAGCCAGCAGCGAGGCCGGCTTGCAAGTCCACAACGCGGCCAGCAGCAAGACAAGCAACACGGCCAGCAGAGAAGCCAACACTTGAGCCAACAGCGAAGTCAACAACAAAACCGGCCACTTAGCCAACAGCGAGGCCAACTGAGCCCGCGCAGCCAACAGCAAGGTCTCCAAAGCCAGCGCAGCCAGAAGAGCCAACAACAAGGCCATCAGCAAAGCCGGCAGCTCAGCCAACAGCGAGGCCAGCAAGAAAGCCGGGAACTCAGCCGACAGCCGAGTCCCCAACAGAGCAAGGCGCAACAGCAAAGCCCGCACAGCCAACAGCAACACCGGGCGCTTAGCCAACAGCGAGGCCAAGTACCTGGCCATCACTTGGGCCTGCAACGTGGTCAAAATCAAAGCCAGCAATCCGGCGGCAGGCAGACAGCAGAATCTCGTGTGCGATCAGCCTCCCCAGCTCTCCGAGGGTCAGCTGGTGCGCGCCAGGGACCGCCAGCCGGAAAGGAGGGACGGTCCTTCAGCCCGCGGACAGGAGTCAGCCAGACAGAGAGAGGGGCAGGCAGTTCAGCACACGGTAGGTCAATGCAGCCTTCATTTCACTCACAAGACATTCGAGTCCGGGACGTGTCTCCCCCGCGTCTTCGAAAGCCTGCGGTTCCAGCAACTCGGAGGGTCAAAGATGTCAAGGCGAAGAGCATGGCATCCTTGGCATCCTTCCTGCCTCGAGCACAGATGACCCGGACGCCCAGTCCAGATCACTCTAGGTCCGTAACCTTTGGGTTTGCAGACAAGGTGACAGCTCTACAGCCAGACAAAGACCAAAGGGAAGGGAAGGACGAGAACCTCTATGTAGGATTTCGCAACGGGCACGGCCAGAGGGATGGCTTCGGCGTGATGCAGGTGAAAAATGGGCCGACCTACACGGGCCAGTGGAGCGGCAGCAAGAGAGAGGGGCATGGCACCCTCTTCTTTGATGGTGGGGTCTTCGAGGGCCAGTGGACAGCTGGCAATGCACATGGCAAAGGCGCTGTCCACTTCAAGAACGGAGATACCTTTCAGGGGAATCTTGGTGCATGTGCATGATCTGAGTTGGAGTCTCCAGGACCTGGAGTGCTTATAATATATATATATACATATATAATATACAATAATATATATTCCCGAAAGCATGGCGAAGGGTTCTTCCGCTGGGTTCACTTGAATTGTTCTCATGAGAGTCATTACAAGGTGTCATTGCAAGGAATCATCATCATGAAAGTCAATGCAAGGAGTCATTGCAAGGAGTCATTGCAAGGAGTCATTGCAAGGAGTTGCAAGGAGTCATTGCAAGGAGTCATTGCAAGGAGTCATGGCAAGGATTGCAACTTGCACTTGACTCCTTGCACTTGCAACTTGCACTTGACTCCTTGCACTTGCAACTTGCACTTACTTGCACTTGCAACTTGCACTTGACTCCATGCACTTGGCTCCTTGCACTTGGCTTTGCACTTGGCCTTGCACTTGCAACTTGCACTTAACTCCGTGCACTTGCGACTTGCACTTGACTCCATGCACTTGGCTCCTTGCAACTTGCAATGGCTCTCATGACTCCTTGCAATGACTCCTTGCAATGACTCCTTGCAATGACTCCTTGCAATGACTCCTTGCAATGACTCCTTGCAATGACTCCTTGCAATGACTCCTTGCAATGACTCCTTGCAATGACTCCTTGCAATGACTCCTTGCAATGACTCCTTGCAATGACTCCTTGAAACAAGCAAGGAGTCAAGTGCAAGTTGCAAGTGCAAGGAGTCAAGTGCAATTGACTTGCGAGGAGTTAAAATCTCTTCTTAGGGCGGCGGGGTAGTGCCGACGACACTACACGAAAATCGACCCTCTGCGGGGATCGGCGTGGTCGAGGTGCAAAAACCCATGGTTTTTTGCGATTTCTAACCTGCTCGCGCGACCCTCTGCGGGGATCGGCGTGGTCGAGGTGCAAAAACCCATGGTTTTTTGCGATTTCTGCGGTGCTCGCGCGACCCTCTGCGGGGATCGGCGTGGTCGAGGTGCAAAAACCCATGGTTTTTTGCGATTTCTGCGGTGCTCGCGCGACCCTCTGCGGGGATCGGCGTGGTCGAGGTGCAAAAACCCATGGTTTTTTGCGATTTCTATGCTCGCGCGACCCTCTGCGGGGATCGGCGTGGTCGAGGTGCAAAAACCCATGGTTTTTTTTGCGATTTCTGCGGTGCTCGCGCAACCCTCTGCGGGAATCGGCGTGGTCGAGGTGCAAAAACTCAAGGTTTTTTGCGACTTTTGTTGTTCGAACTGGTCCTCGGGAGTTGTCTCGTGGTTCGCGCGCCTGCTCCCGGAACCGGCGGGTCGCGGGTTCGATTCCTCCCTGGTCCGCGGGCGGGCGTCGCAAGATGCAACTTGCATTTTACAGCAACTTGCGCAGAGCAACTAGCGCAGAGCAAGTTGCACAGAGCAACTTGCGCAGACCAACTTGCACCGACCAGTTTGCGCAGAGCGCCTTGCCTAGAGCAACTTGCGCAGAGCAACTTACGCAGAGCAACTTGCACAGAGCAACTTGCACAGAGCAGCTTGCACAGAGCAACTTGCAGGGAGCGCAATTTGCACAGAGCAACTTGCAGGGACCAACTTGCCGGAGCAACTTGCGCGGAGCAACTTGCGCAGAGCAACTTGCACAGTGCAACTTGCGTAGAGCAACTTGCGCAGACCAACTTGCACCGACCAGTTTGCGCAGAGCACCTTGCCTGGTGCTGTCTCGCGCTTGCTTCACGAAGTGTAGGGAAAAAGAACGCATCCTGCAGCGTTGGGCCGACCTCGCTTGCGATGTTCTGCTTTCGGGCCAACCGTGGTCTAGTATATATATATATGTATTACACACACACATGTATTGTCGGAAAGGACGAGCTTGTGTTTTCTATGTGGTCGCAGCTGAGAATATAAGAGTTCACCGCATTTGGAGCTCAGGAATTATGCCAACAACAAGAAATGTGGCCATGGGGTCTACAAGTGGGCAGATGGCACCGTGGAGTCTGGAGACTACTTGGAAGGGCAGAAGCATGGGACACATTTGTGGTGCAAGGGCTCTGATGCCTGGCAAATGATCCTCGGCTGATGGGCATGCGGGTTCTTTTTGTCGGTTTTAAAGTGGAGTTTGTGCAGCAGTTGTGGCACTCCCTTGCTGACTCAATTTGTCTACTGCAATCTTCTTGCGTGCAAGCGTGCGAATTTTTGTGTGCGTGTGCGTGCTTGTTCGCATGTGTGTTTTGCAGTGTGTCCTGTCGGCAAGCACCCATTTTGGGCTCAAGGCGCAGACATGTCATCAGCATTCAGCTTGAGAAGAAAAGAGCCGCAACTGCGTTTGCTCATCGCATCATACAAAGCCACATCTACCAGGACATTCCAAGCGTTTCTTTGTGCCTTCCCATTGTCCGTGACATATTTTCAGGGTAATGGCTCCTTGTATGGGCCACAGGGGGCGTGGGTTGGGTTTGCGTTGCGGTGGGATGAGGTTAGGTTGGGTTGGATTGGTTGCTTTGAGTTGGGTTGGGTTGGGTTGTGTGTATGTGTGTGTGGGTTGTTCTTTCTTTTCTTTGTTCTTTATTTTTGTTCTTTATGTTTGTTCTTTCTTTCTTTCTTTCTTTCTTTCTTTCTTTCTTTCTTTCTTTTTTATTTCTTTTTTTCTTTCTTTCTTTCTTTCTTTCTTTCTTTCTTTCTTTCTTCTTTCTTTTGTTATTTTTGTCATTCTTGCTTGCTTTTTATAGTTGTTTCTTGAAGTGTTTCTCTTTGTTGTTTGCTTGCTTGCTTGCTTGCTTGCTTGCTTGCTTGCTTGCTTGCTCGCGCGCTCGCTCGCTCGCTGGCTTGCTGGCTTGCTTGCTTGCTTGCTTGCTTGCTTGCTTGCTTGCTTGCTTGCTTGCTTGCTTGCTTGCTTGCTTGCTTGCTTGCTTGCTTGCTTGCTTGCTTGCTTGCTTGCTTGCTTGCTTGCTTGCTTGCTTGCTTGCTTGCTTTTCTGCACGTGCGTGCGTGCGTGCGTGCGTGCGTGCGTGCGTGCGCGCGCGCGTGCTTGCTTGTTTTGTGCTGTTTTGTTTTGTTTTGCGTTGGTTTGTGGGTGGGTGGGTGGTGGTGGTGGGTGGGTGGTGGGTGGTGGGTTGGTTGGTGGGTGTGGGTGGTGGGTGGGTGGTGGGTGGTGGTGGGTGGGGGGGGGGGGGCGGGTGGGTGGGTGGCGGCGGGGGGGCGGCAGGTGGTGGGCGGGCGGTGGGTGGGTGGGTGGGTGGGCGGGTGGGTGGGTGGGTTGGTGGGTGGGTGGGTGGGTGGGTGGGTTGGTGGGTAGGCGGGCGGGTGGGTGGGTAGGTATATGTATGTGCGTGTTTGTAGGTGTTGTGTGTGTGTGTGGGTGTGGGTGTGTGTGTGTGTGGGTGTGTGGGTGGGTGGGTGGGTGTGGGTGTGTGGGTGTGCGCGTGTGCGCGTGTGCGCGTGTGCGCGTGTGCGTGTGTGCGTGTGCGTGCGTGCGCGTGCGCGTGCGCGTGCGCGTGTGCGTGCGCGTGCGCGTTTGCATGCGTGTGCCTGCGTGCCTGCGTGCGTGCGTGCGTGCGTGTGGGTGTGTGGGTGTGTGGGTGTGTGGGTGTGTGGGTGTGTGGGTGTTTGGGTGTGTGGGTGTGTGTGTGTGTGCGTGTGTGCGTGCGTGCGTGTGTGAATGTGTGTGTGTGTGTGAATGTGTGTGTGTGTGTGGATGTGTGTGTGTGTGAATGTGTGAATGTGTGTGTGTGTGTGTGTAACTGTGTGTGTGTGTGTGAATGTGAATGTGCGTGTGTGTGTGTGTGAATGTGTGTGTGTGTTGTAACGTGTTGTGTTGTATTGTGGTGTGTCGTGTTGTGTCATGCTGCCGAGGACCTACGACAAGGGCACCTTGGTGGCCACCCAGCGTGCTTCCGACACGGAGACCAAAGCGGACACTAAGGAGTTCGTATCGCAGAAGTTGGTTCTCGACAAGGCGGGGCCTTTTGGAAGAATCTGGCAACACTTTCCGCAAATGAGCAGCGACTTGACTACATCCAAAGCAAAGCAGAAAGTCAAGCAAAATGTGAAGGCGGTGATGCTTTGAACATGTGAGATGGTCCATGTAGGATGGGCAGGTGCACTTAGTGCGTTCTCAACTTGAGATTAGAAGCTGGCATTGCTTTTCATTTGCCGTGTCTTTGGCTGACAAATACCAGACATTTGGACCAGGAGCGGCCTACACCAAGACCAACCCCACCGCCCAGCCCGCCCAAATCGGAGAAGGCACGAGAGGCAGGTGTTTGGGCGCTTGCAGCGACCGTCCCGTGTCGTTCAAGAAATGGCAGTGATGTTTATCCCAGCAAGATATGGCGACGTTGGGCATTCTGATTTTTAGTTGATCCGCGGCCTGTCGAGCATTCCTTTCCTCTGGCAAAGATTTGCCTTTGCCTGCATTAGGAGGAAAATGTAAGCACCAAGGCTCGAACAACAGGATAGGGAGGTTGACAGCGATAACGGTGTTTGCAGTACCGAGCGGACTCGTACAAACAGCCACTTTTTCGGCCATCGTCCCTGGGAGAGAACAGCCGGATATTGCATGCTGCCAGCTTGTGCTTGGCCGTGTCAAGGCTTATCGCCAGTGGTACTACCGTGAGAAGCTTCATGCAGGTGTTGCAACTCTGCAGTGCTGCAGATGTTTTTGCAGTATTGAGACGACGGCATGCTTGTGGCAGGATGTCACTATTCCTGAAGATTTACATGGAACATCAATGGGGCCTTGAGTGGATCTGCTCTCTTCCAAACTTCACACCATCCGATAGAGTCCAGCCACCTGATTACTCATGGACCAGTGGAGCAGCCAGCAAACATGCCAGGCCTCAAGTTGTGATGCTCCTGTTGCATGTTAATTAGCAGCACGCAAGAGTGTGAGTCTAGAACTGAGCTGTGCTTTCCCTTTGTGCCTGGTTTGCTGGTGCTTTCCATGCGTGGTCCAATGACATGATTCAAGATCTTGACCAGGCGGCCAATCGCTGCAGATCTGATAGTGCATTCAGAGCTCAAGGCTTTACAGATGCTGAGATCGCCCGCGTCTCAACCTCACTTTCAAGTTGACTTATTCCAGCACAACTGAATATCAAGAAGCTCTTTTGTCGCAGCCAGGGGAATTTTACAGTTGTCAACCGCTTGTCATGACTGCCTGTTGTGAGTCCTGCCCAAGGCCCTCATCGAGCGAAAAAGACGGGAGCCTAGCCGCTGCATTTGCGGAGATATAAATTAATTGTTTGGATGATATTTTATTAGTTTAAACATTTTTTTTAAACATCTATTTATTTTTCGATTCCAAATTCTTCTTCTTTTTTGGCGGGTATATGCCCGATGGCAAATTACGAATTATATTCCTTTATCAGCCGGCGTTCCTGTTGTTTGAAGGTATCCGTTTGGGAATCCTGACGACCCGGTTAGACGAAGGTAGAGGATGGTCCCACCCATTTCTTCAATGATTTTTGCCTTGTGGTTGGAGGGCTGTCCAGGGTTCTTGGACCTTCTTGATCAAGATCAGCCAAGCGCATATTCTCAGAGACGTCAAACCTTTTCGTGTTCTTTTGTGGCTTTGCCCCAAACAAACCCAAGGTGACAAAGGTACGCCCAAAAAGACGACCACCCCGAACGGGCGGCAAGGTCCCCCCAGCTCGCCAGCGCCTTTGCCGGATAGAGCCTTCCTTCCCATGAGCGGCAGGGCCAGCGGCCTAGATGCAAATCGCCACGAGTCCAAGTCCCGACAGCTGCAAAGCTGCTTGAAGCGGATCGAGCTAAGCGGGAAGCAGGCAATAGATCTAGGTTGTATTGTTTGGGGAAGACCAATGCTGTACTTTGTGTCTCCGACTTGCTTTGGTCAGCCCCGGACCTGTTGCAGTCCACATGCTTAGCCAACAGGAGCCGTCAAACGCAACTGGCCAAGGCCTTCTTCCCCACATCGGGCCGGAGCCGTCCAAAGGAGGCGAACAAAGGCAGGGCACCGGGATATGAGCCTTCTGAAGGACTTGGCAGTGACTTTTAAGGGGACAAGAAGAGAAGCTGTTGTGATTCTGCAAATGTAATTTGTCGAGCTGCTGGGCAGACTGCCAGCAAGTTTGCAGAGTTTCGACAGCTTGCTTTTTGGTACAAGAGAGCATTTGAGCATGGCAGCAGGGGTGCGAAGAAGCCATTTGTTTCCCGTCATCACTGTTACGCACTCACCTCTGCCTTTCTCCCACTTTGCGTAACAGTCGCTGAAATTATCATTTTTAGCCACTTGCTTGGCTGAAAGCAGATACAGGCCAAGCCCTTGCCGAAGCATCTGGGCTGCAAGCTCGCAATGCTGACTGGACTTGCCAACATTCGTTTCATCTAAATATAGATATAAGCGGATGTCATATCAAGGCGTTCTAGGAGGCTAAAACAAATGCTGCTGATGTGCAGATAGCGTCCAGAACGCCAGTTTGAGCTTCCCACTGCTTGATGGAAGGCAATGTCCTTGACAAGCATGTTGTACCAGGTGAATCCCTGTCAAGCTGCTGTTGTTGTTGATGGGAAATTCTGATGAACATGACTGGTTGTCGGCCTCTAAGGGCGGGTAATACAAGCAAGTTCTTCACAGAATGCACGCTCTCTTCAACCGAGGCCCAAGGCGTGTCTTCCTCTGGAGAAGCGGCCAGGGTGCGCACACAGAGTGGCTGGATTTGAGATTTGTTTTCTTACGCTCCTGAGCATTGCAAGTGCAAGTCTGACCAGCCTAAGCTCCGCCAGGAAGTATAGTCCAGGTTGTCTCATCCTTTATTGACAATTGCTATTGACAGTCTTTGGCCTCGACTGCAGCTTTGCATTCACGTTGAGAGGGCAGCTTTTCCTTGGTATGAGCCCCTGCATCAGAGTACCATGCAGCTCATTGCTTCACGGCCAGGACGGATTGCAAGACCCGCCGGAGGCAAGCGAGGCAAGATGCTTGCTGATGCCGCTGTGTGTACTTCGGCATCGGCCAGAGTGTTGTATGCTGGGCATCCTGCACCAAAGATGTTGGCTCCGATATCAGTTGCCAGTGATAGACTTGCACAAGCCTGTTATGCAGGCTGTAGACAAAGAGCCAGAGCCGGAGCCCCAGCAGCGGTGCTCTTGAGCTGATGTTCACCTTTGGTTTCTGTGAGGCTTTTTGGCTCAAATGCCCAACCAGTGTGCATCATGGCTCGTTCGTTTTGCCGACGCGCGGCGGGTCTTTCCCTGGTCTTCTTTGCGCTTTGTCAGCTGTTCCCTGCATGGCAGCCAAAGGAAGCTTTTGCCTCCCGGGCCACGTGTGGTCGGAGGCCAGTGCGTGAGGCAAGGTCGAAATGCTTCGCTAGCAACAACCCGCTGCGGCTGCCGGACAAGGAGCAGAACCCCTTTGACCTTTTCGGCGTGAAGCGAGGTACAGAGAAGGCAGAGATCAGAAAGATCTTCCGCAAGAGAGTTCAGACAGAGCACCCGGACGTGAGCTCAGATCCAGAAGCTGGAGAGCGATTTCAAGAGCTTGTGGCGGCTTACAACTCAATCATGGGCCACTCAGTTGGATTTTTGCGAAAAACAAGCAGACATTCCAATGGTTTAAACAAGCTCGGCTTTGGAAGGGTGGGTTCTTGGTGAGCCCGCCCCACTGAGTCAAGCCCGAGCTCAGGTGATGAGCTACTGCCTGACGAGCTGAACTATGTCCGGGTGCAGATGACACCGCGCTACAAGAAGACGCTTGAGGCGGATCAATCTGTCTGCAGCTCAGTGCACTGAGTGCAGTGCCGCACAGAAAAAGCCTGCCCCCTAAGCAAAGGATGGAGAAGTGAAGTACTTCTCTCGTGTAGAGCATTGCGACATAGCCTTGGAGCTCAGGTGAACAACGGCATTTTCTATGCACTTCTTCCTGGTATGGCGGTGACCCTCCTCGGCATTGGGTTCGTTGGCCTGGACACTTTCGGACTGCTCGATCCAGAAACCAAGGGGATGCTGAACGCAGTGAGAGGGCAGGGGCCATGATGCTCCTGCGGGTTTGCAGCAATGCTTCATCACCAACCTCATTGCTCGCGGGGACAGGCACCATGTCAGGCTTGCCAGATGGTCCAAGATCAGCGTCAGCCAGCTCACCAAGCTCAAGCCACATGATTTGGTGGTATGCTTTGACGGCACATGCACTTCAGCAAGAATCTAAGAAGCGGAAGACTTCAGTCCGCATCCCATTGGGCAATGCTGCGCGTCTCACACAATAAGCTTTCAGTTGCTGGCAAAAAGAGTGTGTTCGAGCAACCACGAGAAGGGGCCAGCAAGGGAAAGGGGTAGGGAAAGCAAACTTGCAATCAGCTGCGATCACATCGCTTGCTTGGATGTTCAGTCTCAGGGCATCTGCTCCAGAACAACCTGCTGATGCAACGTGAGGAGGTCTCACAGTACCATTCAGCGCTGACGTAGGAATGTGTCAAAATAAGGATTTGGACCGGCAAAGCAATGAGTGTTTTTCTTTGGTTTCCTGATAAAGCCACCCTGAAAAGGGTACCCTCGAGAACGTACACCTAAATGTTGGGTTGCCTTTGAGATGAGTGTGGGGCATGGTGCGCATGCCTATGTTAATGAAGCGGCGTTTCGCGAGCTGCGGTGATTTTCCGCTCCTGAAACGGGAGATGGCCTGCACGTCTTCAAATGCGGGATGCATGCCACGTGGAGTACATATTTGCAGCTCAGCCGCTCAGCCTCGGAAGACCGGCAAAGCTGGTCTTCCCATCCCTGTGCTTCTGCAGAGCCTTTGTGAGGGGAGCAAATCTCCTTGGGAGGCTTTTCAGAGTCACACGGTGAGTGTGGCCCACAAACTGCCTTGCAGGAAGCTTTGAGAACCACCGTGATTGGGAGATCAGTTGAGGTTTGAGGTTCAGATACAGCTCGTGGGTGCACCAGCCTGCAAGGGCGCGCTGCCCGTCGTTAGCAGCACAAGCAGAAAAGGATAAAGAGAATGCTACGGGGGAAGCATAGTATGTGCAAGGTGCCAGCATGGGTCGGTTCGCAGCTGATCGAGAGCTCAAAGCAAGCACCCAAGTATATACGCTGGATTGTAGATGCCAGAAGTTATGGCGCATGAAGGCAGTTGCAGCGCGCAGGCAGAAATGGGTTGGTACAAGCAAGCATTGGAAGCCCACCAGCCGTTGGGACCTTTCCAGCAACATCCCATTCAATCTTTCCAGACGCCCTTTGCCAGTCTCACCTGGCGCACAGCAGCTGATCATCGACTCTATTCGAGGTATCACAACTTTGTTTAGCATTTTTGCAACTCATTACTCCGACGCTTGTGGACTTCAATTGCTTGGCTCGCGTGGATGGCGAAGCGCCATGTCTCCTACAAGGATGCGAACGGCTTTCTGCAGAAATGCTTCGCCAAGCCCGAGCGCATGCGGCTGTTGTGCAGCACCAAGGCAGAGCGAGAGGGTGGCGACAGCCTGGCAGTCGCTGTGGAAATTGCACCTGGAGGGCCTGTCGTGGAGGTGGGGCTCTTTGTCAAGCAAAGTAGCCCAATGGCCCCAGATCTCAAAAACGTTTCTTTCGGATGTTCACGCATAGCCTGAGGTGCAGGAGGTGAGCATGGCAGATGGCTGGACTGGCTGCCGTTTCTCCCCATCTTCCCTTTGGCTGGCATTGAGCATTGGCCAGAACAGCCTCAAACAGGTGGAGCGGCCTTCAGCCATTGAGTTTGGCTGTGGCGTGGCCCTGGCGGGCTTAGCTGCGCACGCGGTGGGCTACGACACGACGCTCACCGACTGCTTGCCCGGGCACCTGGCGAACCTTACAGCGCACGCCACCAGGCTCCGGCGCACTCCGTCGCTCGAGGTCTTTTGCCTGGACTGGATCGCGGACGTGGGGAAGAACGCCTGCGACATTGACACGGGCAGTCCCGAGAACCTGGCGGCCTTAGAGAACGGCAAGCCGAGCGGGCCGAGTTGGCAGAGCATACCGCAGGAGAAGCTCAGGAGCTTTGACCTGGCGCTGGCCAGTGATGCCCGGCACCCAGGATATGGATCCGAAGCTGGTGTTCTGGAAAGAACCGAAGGTCGTGTATGAGCCGCACCATGCCGTCCTTCTGCCTTTGGTCATCGAGCGTTGGCTGAAGCCAGGCCGGATTTGCTCCGGGACTTCATGGTTTGTCAGCCAAGCTGGCTTGCACTTGGCCCGAGGCGACATTTTGAAATGTGCCATGCCTGATCAGGAGGGTGGTTGGCTGTGTCCCTTGCGATCCGTGACGAAGCAATCTGTGGATGGCTCAGTCTGTCAATGGTCTACCGATCTGCATCCGAATCATCGAGTGAAGTTGGCTGCATGGGCCCCCAGCCATTGGCCGCTTCGAAGATTGAATGGCACGCTGCATGCTTGGACGAAGGCTGCCGCTTTCTGGAGCAGCTCGATGCTTGCGGCCTACTTTCATACACGGAGCGGCTTGGCAGCCTGCCATTCGGCAGAGCTTTGGCCATTGGCAATCCAACGGCAACGGAGACCCTCCTTTTTCCAACCTGAACCTGCTGTTTGGCATCTTTTACCTTCTTGTTTGACCCAGCAAACGGGTTGGGATCAGACAACAGCAAAACGAAACAAGCGAGTCTTGAAGGGTTGAGAACTCACCATCAGTGTTCATTCTGCTCAAAGCGTAGAGACGTCTGAAGGTGAGACAATCAACTGTTAAAAGAAGAAAGAGGAGGCGGCAGCGCCCCTCGGAAGGCAACAACCAGGTTCTCGTACGCTGATCGCTGATTGCATGAAGACACTGTTTTGCAAGTGACCCGGCAGTGACCCTTGCAAATTCAAAGTCAAAGCACCATAGAACTATATTTGGATGTTGCTGAGATCGTTCAATACGAATGCATTGTGTTCCTCCCATCTTCAGCGGTTGATTTAAACACCAATCAATCCTGGCAACCAACCTCAGTGTGAGTCGCTGCTGCCAATGGTCAAGTGAATGAAGAAATCGGCATCCTACTGGTGCAAGTAGCAGAACATGTGAGGTCAATGATGCAAAATGAAAGACAGTTCTGTGGATGATTTATATTCACGTTGCAACATTGTGACACGCATGTCACTCCATCAGCTGGCAAATAATGTTGTGTCTTGGCTCCATATTGCATGACATTTAGAATCCGACCTGGCAGCACCAGGCCTTGCGCAGATAAAGTTGAATGTCTTGCTTGCAACTTGCAGCACGTGGCCAAGGCATCTTCTGATTGAGACAGCTTGTGTACCCGAGCGACGCTTGGTTCAGTTATAACAGAGACATCAAGGGCCCAATCTGAATAGCAGCTCAGAGGGGAGCACACTACAAGGACTCCAAAGCATCATGTTTGTGCTGCGTACTGAGACTGAAGCCGTGCAGCTTAAAAAAGGGGGGCTGAGTCAGGATGTCCCTACTGCGCATCGCGCGGCCAATCACTGGACAGCTCCGCCAAGACCCTGGAGGGGAACCTCGGCAATGCTCGAAGGGCGTTTGGCGCAAGTGTATCCTGCATAGATAGTATGCGCATGTTTGCTTGTTGCACACATTGAATCAATCCGCCAGACCTGTGCTGGCTGTGTTAGGCTACGTGCACTCTTCAGAGCTCACGAGGGCGGCGCAGTGCTTCTGCGAAGCAGACGGAGTTGCGAGCAAAAATTGTCCTCCGTTTGCGGGCCTGGAAGAAGACATCCCTAGCTTTGCCAGGAAACTAGTGCTGCTATGTGCTTTGCGCCAGGACTATCCTTCCAAAGATGCCGGTTCTTCCAAAGGCTTTGGCTCTGTCGGGAAAGCATAGTTGACGCCAGTTGAGATGCTGGAATTCTCTCACCAAAGCCGAACCAATTCAGCTCATGTCACCTGAATGGATAGAACAAGGAAGCAACATTTTGCATACAGCGTGAAATTAGCGATGACCAGACCGCCATGACAAAGTTCTGGTGTTGAGGCGCGTGGGAATTCGGAGTTTTGCACGCAAAGACGTGGGTCGAATATGTCGAAATAGGGGAACGCCCCGAAATGGTGGGTTTCCTGTTGGTTTCCTTCAAAACCAGCCTGAAAAGGGTACCCATGGTACCATGAAAGACACACACACACAAGCGTTGATGCTGAGGCTGGCTTCATGGCAGCATGGGCAACAGCCTCAGGCGTGGTCGGCCAGCTGCATCTGCCCCTTAACGGGGCATTTTAGTTCGGAAGCCGCCATTTTTCAAAGCCCACACACGAGTTCCTTGCGTGCCAGGCGGTACCGGACTCGACCAGAGGCACATAGACCTGCAAACCTGTCTTTGGCTCGGCCGAAACGCGCCAGGTCAACCACGATTCCTGGCGCAAGCCCAAGGCGAAAAGTGCCCCAAGGGACTCGAAGGACTCAAGCGCGAAGGCACGGAAGCCCTTGCCGCGAATTGGCTGCTGCACCTTTGCCACGCCATCCCTCCCTCAGAGCCCATGAGAGCATTCCACACCAATGACTGGAAACAATGGACCAAAGTGCAGCAAGCAAACAGAGGTACGAACATCTGAAAATGCCATTGGAGGAAAGCATTGCAGAAATGATTCTCCCAGCAAGCTACTGTTGAATCGACCGCCATGGATACTGATGGAAGACAAGCGGAGGCCACAACTGTTACCGCGCAACGGGCGGACGGTGTGGATGCGGTTGTTTGTGTGGATGCGGTTGTCTGTGTGGATGCGGTTGTCTGTCTGTGTGTGTGTGTGTCTGTGTGTGTGGGTGTGGGTGTGGGTGTGGGTGTGCGTGTGCGTGTGCGTGTGCGTGTGCGCGTGCGTGTGCGTGCGCGTGCGCGTGCGCGTGCGCGTGCGCGTGCGCGTGCGTGTGCGTGTGTGTGTGCGTGTGCGTCGCATTCGAGAACAGTGGCCAGAGAGACAGCAGGCTTGCACTGCGGCTGCAGCGCTCATCGTGACCTTCCTGGTGGGCGCGGCGTGTTTGGCTCTTACCGAACTTGTGCTGTTCTCCAGAGAGCAGCGCATGCAAGGTCGAGCGCGGAGTTCCAAGAGGTGCCGTGGCCTTGCCTTGGCACATGCAGCGAATGTCAACAGAGCTTTGTTTATGTGTGCGCATTGGTCTGGTTGCTCAGTTTTGGATCAATACAGCAGCAATTGTGCTTGGGTGCAACAGCAGAAAACGATGCGTAGAAGTGACATATTTTGAAATGCTGATGAATTGTTGTTGGGAGGGTGTTCCAGCAGCTAAAGCATGCAACACATTCAGGATTGATTTCAATGTTTCACGACATGTTGGGTTGGCTCGGTGGGGAAAGGTGTTGGCCCAGGACCGAAGGACAAGTTGCACACGCCAACAAGCAGATATGTTTGAACATATTGAAAACGTGATTGACGCTTGCAGCACGTTGCAACAAGACAGGTCAAAAGCTACAAAGTAAGTTTCAGACCAATGGGGTGCTGAGACGCTCAAGGGAAGCTGAGACTCGGTGCGAGGCCGCGGCCACTTCCTTTCCAGCACGACGAGGTGCGGCGCTGTCTGTACGGGGTGGGTAAGGTTACTTGGCTGTGACCTGGGGGAAGCGAGTGCAGGTCTCTGGCTTCGATCACCTGGATGGCCACGCGCCAAGAAGGACACGCGCCGGGCGCCGGGCGGGGCGTCCGCTGAGAGCTGTGAGAACCCTCCCTGCCAAGGGAGGAATAGGAGGTTTTGTTGCCAGGCTCGTTTCCCTCCATGTCTTCACTGGTTGAAGGGAGACTGCAAGGTTTCTGCTTTGAGTGCTTGCAGCAGCCACCAGCCACTTTGTGGGATACGCAGGGGGCTGCGGTTGGTGGTTGTCAGCGACACGCACAACTTCCACCACAAGCTGAAGCTGCCAGATGGAGATGTGGCACACTTACTGGCAAATTGTGATGATGTGTTATGTTCCTTGTTGTTGGTGCCAACGTGCTGGCAAAATCCCAGACAATTTCGAGCCATCGAGCATTGCCTCGCTTTCTATGTTATGGTACGCCAATTGAAAAGCAGTTAGAAACGTAGAAGCTCGATGTGAAGGTCCTGATTCATGCGGGCGATTTTACTCAATATGGCAAGGAGGACGCGGTGCGGGTGCTGGTAGCGGACATTTGGTGCCGATTTGTTGACCATTAACCCGCAGTGATGAACAGCAAGCGGATGGACCTGCAGGAGCATGCGCATGACTTCAACCAATGGTTAGCAGAGCAGCCGTTCTCTCCTCAAGTCAGAGGGGGAGAGAGAGAGAGAGAGAGAGAGAGAGAGAGAGAGACAGAGAGAGAGAGAGAGAGAGAGCGACAGAGAGAGAGAGAGAGAGAGAGAGAGAGAGAGAGAGAGAGAGAGAGAGAGAGAAAGAGGGAGAGAGAGGGAGGGAGGGAGGAGGGAGGAGGGAGGAGGGAGGGAGGGAGGGAGGGAGGGAGGGAGAGGGAGGGAGGGAGGGAGGAGGAGAGAGAGAGAGAGAGAGAGAGAGAGCGAGAGAGAGCGAGAAGAGAGAGAGGAGAGAGGGAGAGAGGGAGAGACGGAGAGAGGGAGAGAGGGAGAGAGAGAGGGAGGAGAGAGGGAGAGAGGGAGAGAGGGAGAGAGGGAGAGGAGAGAGGGAGAGAGAGAGAGGGAGAGAGGGAGAGGGAGAGAGGGAGAGAGGGAGAGAGGGAGAGAGGGAGAGAGAGAGGGAGAGAGGGAGAGAGGGAGAGAGGGGGAGAGGGGAGAGAGGGGGAGAGGGGGAGAGGGGGAGAGGAGAGAGAGAGAGAGGCACAGAGAAAGAAAGAGAGCGAAAGAGAGAGAGAGAGGGAGAGAGAGAGAGAGAGAGAGAGGCAGAAGGGAAGAGGGGAAGAGGGGAAGAGGGGAAGAGGGGAAGAGGGGAAGAGGGGAAGAGGGGAAGAGGGGAAGAGGGGAAGAGGGGAAGAGGGGAAGAGGAGAAGAGGGGAAGAGGGAGACACAGGGAAAGAAACAGAGGGAGGAGAGTCGGAGGGGTGGTGGAGGGGAGGGAGACGGGAGGGAGACGGAGGGAGACCGGGAGGAGACGGGGAGGACACGGGGAGGAGACGGGGAGGAGACGGGGAGGAGACGGGGAGGAGACGGGGAGGAGACGGGGAGGAGAGGGGGAGGAGAGGGGGAGGAGAGGGGGGAGAGGGAGGGGGAGGAGAGGGAGAGACAGAGGGAGGGAGGACAGGGAGAGGGAGAGAGGTCAGTAGTGGATAGTGCTTGTTGATTGAGGCACAGGACAAAGCTGGTAGTGCTTGGGAACCATGAGAACAACTCGCCCAGAGCTAAGCTGAGCACGCTCTTTGGCACGTTGTTGCCTTCATGAACGCTGTCGCTGCATGCAAGCACTGTCCTCGTCTTGGCAAGAGTTTGCCACTTCAAGGACTTCCTTGGATACAAACCATGGACTCATTGACGACATATTGCCCTGGCTCGTGGGTGGCAACTGGAGACAATCATGGCCAGCTTCCCTGGCGTCGGTTTTGCCAATCAGCCAAACGGGTTAATACTTGATCTTCTGGGCTGACACCAGGCAGAAAAGGCAAAGCGAAGGCGTGTGGATGGCGAGAACTGAAAGTGCAAGGATGCGACAACAAAGAAAAGGAACAAAACACACGCGCTCTAGTCGATGAAGCGACGGAAGAGTCACAACTTTGCAGAGTGAGCTAGTGTATGCTGAGTCCGAAACATGCCATTGCTTTTGAATTCCAATTTCAGTGCCACAGGCTTGTCAAGCATGCCGCCCTACTCGAAACCTTATGTGCCCCCAGAATCCAGAACGACGGGTTCGTCCTTTTTACCTCTACACATCCAAGACCATCCAAGCCCATCCAGACCCATCCAAGCTGAAAGGATCACGAGTTGCAAGCAGAGTCCTGTAATGCAAGTTCCCGCCTCAGGGACTGGCACAAGCGAGCTGCAGACGTGCGAGGCCCTCAGCAAGCCAGCAAGCCCTGCCTGTGGGAACCAAAACCGGGTCTTAGGTTGTCGAACGCCACGCTGCTGCGGCAATCTGCGTTTGACTTGCAGGCAGCGAGCTAAACAATGCCCACCTGCATAACATGTGCAGCTCGGTGCAGGTTCCGGGGTCAAGCCCTGTACGCTTCTTCGGAACCGACTTTTTCTGGCCATGCCACGGCCCCAGTGCCGCCGGATTTTTTCTAGATTCTGCAGGATTGGTTGGGGCAAGCTTGCAGAGGTTCGCTAGCTTCTTTGTAGCCTGAGTGGTCAGCGGAGGCCTTGGCAGCAACCCGTACTTTGACCAGATTCCTGCAGGTACTGCAACTTGGCCTTGACCATTCAGCCCTTGCTCCAAACTTGTGTTGCTTGTTCCTGGTGCCCCTTGTGAGTTGGAAACCAAGGACGTCGTCATTGCTCACGGGCCTGCCAAAGGCTGCGCAGATGGCGGCAGAGGATGCCCCGCTCTTCTGAAGGCGTTGCACGAGGGTCGACACCGGAAGCGCCCATGCCGATTCCTCACACAAAACATGCAGCACCGAACCGTACGAAGCATGTGTTGCATACCGTTATGCTCCTTCACCCCTGGGAACTGTGTGGACAGTTTGACGAGGATGGCTTTTTTGTAGGCCAAAAGAGTTGCTCCTTTGGCGCCGGATTCAAGGCTGTGCAGAACCTTCAGCCGGAGTTGGTGATCTCGGGGCACGTGCACTTTGCCAGAGGCCTTTGGGAATCCAAGAGCTGCTTCCCAAAAAACACCAAACCAAATCAACTTGGAGAGTGTTGCTGTAGGAGAAGTTGAGCCAGAAAAAAGATGCGTATGAACCAAGCCGAAAGATGAACGCCTTGGATGTCAAGTTATTGCAGAACGTGGATCGTTTAGGAGCACAAAAGCCTTTGTAGCAGTAGGCCCTTGTTTGTTTGGGGCGGTGTGCAACCTGACTCTTGCCTCCGGATGGTGCGTGAGGACACCCCCTGACAAATGGAAAACAATGATATCAATTCTGATATCATCAAGTTGCGGAGTTATGAGTTGCTCCCCTGCAGAATAGCATGGAATCCAACAAAGAACACCCTCACTTATTTGTTTGGACCGCCTTTTCAGGGGAGCATGTCTTTCAAGTGAGGATCAACCTGGTGTTTCCCTCAAAAGTGAAAGATGCCTTTTGCTTTTGCTGGATTTTGGATGCCTGGTGGTTCAGTTCCTTATCAATATTGGATACCCCTTCTGGAAATCTGCAATGAAGATGCTAAATCCCATGAGCAAGGAAACACACAGACGTTTGGCAGCCAGCACTGCAAAGCTACAGTTATCCCCGTATCTCCGAGCCAAATGCGGCAGGGGCTGCGCTGCTCTCGGGCAAGCCCACCACCTACGGCCACCTACGGCCAAGTTGAGAGACCGATTCAACTGGCTGATGGAAACGAAACGGGCAATTGGTGACGTATGTGGCCAAGGGATATTAGCATGATGTTATGTATGTCGTGTCATTTGCGCAAAGAAAAGCAGCAAACGCTGTTCACGGATATAGACTGTACAAGTACCCAGGTCTCGCTCAACCGTCCTAGTGAATGCGGCAAACTGCGGCAGCATCCTGGCTTGACGGAATGACTTGAGCAAACCGGAACCTGTTGGCAAGCGCGTGCAAAGGTGGCAAAGCTGAACGGGACGCAGCCTAAGTTTTGCTGCCCTTGACTCTATCAAGTCTATCAAGTGTCACTGAGGTGCTGGTGAGTGGGCCAGTGGTGATTGACATTTGTCCGCGGCCTACTGGGCCTCCGCGGGCGGAAGAAGGGTTTCCGTGGTGTCCTTAGGATGCAGCCATGCCTTCCGTGGAGGTTGTGGAACTGAGGGCTGGGCCATAGGATGCATTCTTGTACAGCGCTTCGAGGCCTCATATCTCACGTGAGCCATGGCCAAAAATTGCTTAATTGAGCAAACATATTTGGGAGCCATGAACTTAATTGTGGGGAGAATGTGGAAGTTGGTTTGGTCGTTGCTCATGCGGTAGATGCCCTGCCTGGTGAAAAAAGAGCCTTGGAATGCCGCAAGTTGATACTTGAAAGAGTCGATGTAGATGTATGATGGATGCGAGAATTGCCTCCGTATGCGCTGTGCACGGATTCGGATATGCTCCAAGCCTGTCAGGCCCCAGATGCTGCAAAGGCTGCTGCATCCGCTGCCAGCTGGGTGGCAGCTGGGCTCCGAGTGTCTTTGCCAGCTCTCTTGTGCAACCTAGACTGCTTCGCCTAATCCAAGTTGCACTGTTTACAGTTGGCAAACCAAGGAAAACCAGCAACCCCCCAAGCCCGCCCCCCCTCCCCCCCACTCCCCCCCCCCCTGCCCCCCGCCCCCCGGCCCCGGGTTGCCGCCCCTCCTTGCCAAGGGTGGAGTTAAGAGCGTTGGCACTGGCCCTGGCGCCAGGAGCTGAGATGGAACAAGTGCTGCAGGGTACAGGTGGAGTATGTTTATCCCACATACATACGTGTTATATTACATGTATAATACATATGCATATGTATATATGTGTGTGTACATATACGCAAAAAAAAATACATAAACATATATAGATACGTAAACAGGTAAATGTATATATGTAGATGTATATTTATAGGTATGTGCAAATGCGCACGCACGCATGATTGTGCCTTGTTACCAAGGCTGCCGCAGGCCGGAGCAGTGTCAAGGTCTCAGCGACTCAACCCAAAGATGGCTCTTCAAAGTCTTCGGATGCCCAGGCACAGCTCTCATCGTCCACGAGTGTGCCGCAGGCGCCATGACTGGCATGACACAGTGACATGAGCCGCTGCATATCAAGAGGGGGTTGGACTTGGCTACTCATTTGCCTTGACAGAAAAAGGAGAGAATTGACGTTGGATGAGAAAATTCGTGCGAGGATGATGACGATGACTTCACCGAATTTTCAAATCTAGCTGATGCTGCCAACAAGGCTGCATGCCCAGACGTGATTTGCGCATGAGGCGGACAAGTGAGAAGCGAACATGTGGTTTCAAGCAGCCCTTGAACATGTTGTGCGGGAAACTCACAAGCTCATCACTCAGGCATGGGACGAGTTGATGACTCGAAAAGGTTCAGTCAAGGTGGGGACGCGACTTGCTGGTTTTGCACTCTAAAACTCCAGGTTTGGAATCAGGGAAGCCTTGAGCGTCAGGGGAAGCAGGAAATGAACGCCCTCTTTGGGCTGTCGGAGCTGAAGGCCCACGACTTGCACGCGGGGCGGTCGAAGTATTGGGTGGCAGGATGCCGTCGAGCGCTCGGTGAAGCGCGTCGACGTGCTGCAGCGACAGGCTGGCAGCCAGCGGTGGCGCGCTCCAGCGACTCCTGCTCATTTGGCCGCAGGTTGCTACACACTCAAGTCAAATGGCGCAGAAGGAGGCTGAACTTGATTCCCTGCGCCGGAAGTTTGAGGCTGGAAGCTCAGAAACTGACTTGCCAGTGGGTTTCATCAGACGCGTGGCTTACCGGCCCGCCAACAATATCGGCAATCTGCCGGAGAGGCGACCGCCTCATCGAGTACCTACTGGAAGTTGGGCCCGGCACTTGAAGCAGCATGACTTGACAGTGGAACTGTGTTGGGTTTTTCCCCAGGCGATTTGGCGATCCGAAGAGGGAAAGGCTTTTGCGAGCTTTCCATGGTGCTTTGCCCATATTGTTTGAATGCTCCTGGCTGTGTAGTTAGGCGGTTTTTGCCTGCGGAGGTACAGATGGATGTCCAACCTCCATTCTTGGAGGCGACATTGCAAGTTCCTGGCGTGCTAAGGAAGTACTGATACCGCATATTGCCGTCTGAACATGAGCGGGTAATGGAAACATGGTGCTCGTTTTGAATGGCATGCTGAATCCTTGAGACTGGCAGGTGCGAATGTCGCTGACAGGCAGTATTGTTGGCACGGAGTGACTTCGGCGCGCTTTCCATTGCCTTGGGCCATGCGTGCATCCTGTTTGCCAATCCTTGCGTTGGTGCTGGCATTTCCTTTCCATTTGAAACAGGCGACATGGCTAGCAAAGATTGCGGGCCAGGGCAGAGAAACTTGCTTCGCTCTCCTCGCAGCAAGAAGCAGCAGCTCGGGCGTCATTGAAGGAGTACGAGAAGGCGGGGCTGGGGACCTTCAGATAACTCGGCAACATGTGCTCATGCCAGAGCCAAGTCACATTGAGCTGCAGCACGTTGAGAACCCGCGCCAGGCAAAGCAGACGCTTGCTGACACGGAGGCGGCACTGAGCCAAGCGCAAGAGGAGCCCTGAAGCGCAAAGATCTTGCCGCGCAGCAGCTCCTCTTGACATCGGGCAGGAGCTTCGCCAGCAGCACCAAAGCCTCACGGAGCAAGTGGAGATCAAGCTCAAGGAGACTGCAACGAGTCGGCGTGGGGTCTCGTTGTTTTTGGAGCGCCAGGAGCCTAGAGCACCACCTGGGCTGCCAGCCCACACCCCAGTCGAGACAAGGTGCTGAGGTCCGTTTTTTAGGTTGTTGAGTGCTAAATTGCGCGTGCGCCACCTGCCGTTGGACGACTGACTGCATATAGGACTACAGCTACTTGCAGAAGTCGGAGGGTCCAGGCTCCAAGGCCACCCTTTGTGCAGAGCGCTGCTTGCTCTTTGTAGTTCCGGGCGCAAAGATATGACAGGAACCGTTCGTCTCAGATTGTTAGCCCGTCCTGGACAGGCGGAGGCCACAACGGCCGCTGCATATCCTGAGGTGAAGGCAAGCTCGGGATAAGATCGTTTGGCTGTGAAATTAACTTAGGGACTTTTGGGTGGGCAGCATATACATGGTAGGCATTGGGGTCTTATGTCCGGTAGGCATTCCCCATCACAACCTGTGCGACGGAAGGGCTTCAAACTCGGCAAGTCCTAGTCGCAAGTGGCTCGGCCGGCTCGCCTCACGCTCCGTCGAGTCCCGCGACGGACGGTTCTGAGACATCCGATGAACTTCCTTTGCCAGAAAAAGAGACTGGACCGTGTGTGGAACCCCATGCGACTCGGACTGGTCGGTCCAAAGATGGTGCGGATGGTGGAAAAGGCGTGGAGGGCAGCCTCCCACCTGGAGAGCTCCAGCTGCAAGAGCTGATTCTTTTGGAAAGCTCAGCGCAGCCTTCTCTCTCTCTCTCACTAGTTCTCTCTCTCTCTGGCTCCCTCTCTGTTTTTCTCTCCCTCTCCCTCTCCCTATCTCTGTTCTGTCTCGTTTCTTTCACTTCTCTCTCTGTCTCTCTCTCGCTCTCTCTCTCTCTCCCTCCCTGTACAATGACCTATTTGGAGACCTTGTTCTTTTGGTGTCCAAATCTTCCCCTGACAGCAACGACCCAGATAGCTCTGAGAGAGTAGACTGCACGATGGACGTGCTAAGGCCTTCGCAGAGTCAACCACGGCCCAGTTGAACGGTCCAGTTCTTCATCTTCCTCCTCCTCAAATGAGTGAAAGAATGATGTGAGAGACAAAAGTAGCTTGCTTTGCCCCGCGGGAGTGTTGCAGGCATAGCAACACGCTAGGCGTTTTGTCCTACAAGTGCCTTTGCACTGATCCTATGCAACGGGAGATGGTCCCCCGCAAATTGGCTACGATGTTATTGAAAAACGAATCTAAACGAGTCCAAAGCGAGATCAGCCATTTTCTTGGCCAACCTCTTCCCCTACGACCTCGGGACCTGGTCCGTCCGGATGCCGCCGCCGCAAGACGAAGCGAGCCGAGGGGCTGCTGTCTCCAGGTCATATCTTAGTTTGCACTGCCAGCGAGCTGCAACTTCCCGGCGTTGGCACACCTTCTCCAGCGGAATCTACGTGCTGCATGACTTTCCTGGCACTGCCCTGGGGCCAGTGCTTTTTGCCCGTGAAGACACTGCACCGCCTTCTTTGGACAGACATGGATCGAGCCAGCGAGACGCAAGTCGTAGATATGATTGCGATGTTTTGAGCCAAGCACCGTAGGCGACCGCTTGGTTGACCACAGGGCTGCCCTCTCGGCAGGTGGGTCCTGAACAGCCCGCATAGCTCCGCAAGGGTGTTCTGCGATTTCGGATCCTGAAATAGTCGACATGCATTCAGGAGCAAGTGTGCTCTAAAGAGAAACACTCGTCTTTGGACCGCATTTCTCCTGAGCGTTTATTCAGCCAACAAGGCTCCTAGCTGTCCTGGAGGATCTTCAGTTTGGGGCGTCTGAAATATCTTATATGCAGATGGACCAATTGAGAAAGCAAACAAAAGCATCACAACCGTCGCCATTAGTTGGGGACTGCAAGAAACATTCAACGGGTTTGCCGGTGTGGACCACAAGGCCCGCGCGTCTGGCCAATCGCTCGCACAGCACAAGCGCCAGGGTGTGAAGGAAGATTTGCGGCGAAAGAGCCCCAAGGTGGGGGGACGCTGTTCAAGCAGCCGGTTTATGGTGCATCCATGTTGCGAGACCGTTTGAAATCCGCCTCACGATTCCATGCATCATCATCCTGCGAAGCGGGAGAGCGAGAGAGAGAGAGAGAGAGAGAGAGAGAGAGTATGTGTGTGTGTATGTGCGTTTGTGTTTGTGTCTCTGGTGTTCCTGAGGAAACATGTTTGCATTTGCGACAGGAGAGCAATTTTCGATCTGAAGGAGAAGCTCCTGCAAGTGGGGCGCGCAGAAATCAGCCGGGATATCGGATATCGTTCGGGAAATCCGGCCTGCACCTTCATGCTATGGTAGGCCAATGTTGAGTTGCAGAAGCATCCAATGTGGGTATTCCATTTTGGTGCAGCTGCATTGGAATGAAGCCTGGTCAGCTGCCAACAAAGGTGTGAACACGGCCGGAACAGCCATGCCACGGCAGGCACGGCCCTTCTTTGAGTTTATGTTAGTCTCTGCTCGTGCCCTTCCCCAGGCACCCAGTGGTCCGGCTGGATTTCCATCATTTGGTGA